CAAGGATAGGAGTACGTACTTGTTGTGGCGGTTGCAGAAGAGCAGCTGAGCAAGAGTAAGCACATAGGACCAGCCGGGCCGTGTCGTAGGGGCAGCCCTGGCAGCCCGGCTCGCAGAAGCTGCAGAAGGCCTCGTGTGTGAAATGGAGCTCGCTTGCTGCCTCCTCGTTGAGCGGATTGATCTTTTCCGCATCTTGCAGCAGGAGGGCTGCCGCACCACCGTTCTGCTTCAGTGCGCTTCTCGTCGCATGGTAAATCTTACCAGCATTTCGAGAGACCACGTTCTTTCGCGAAGATGTCGAAGAGGCGGCAGACCTGCTCGTTGCGTCCTGTTCATATCCCACTTCGTCCGCCTTTGCTGCATCGTTTTCATCGCTCGAATCTAGATTGCCAGCCGCCGAGGATGCAGATGTAGACGAGGATGTTGAAAGCGCGGGAAACGCAGGTAAAACAGAAAAGAGATGCTGTCGACACGATGAAGAAGGCGGAGGGACGAGGAAAGAGAGAACGACGAAGAAGCTGTCGCTGTCGGAGAGGGAAAGCTGACACAGGCAGCGATTCGCGACCGCCAAAGCCTCATCGACGTCGGCACGAGTCCACTCGGCCACCTTTATTCACGGTTAGGCACCCACCAAGGAGGAAGAGTTCCAGTCGGACGCACCAGTTGAGCTTTGGCGCTAAGGCCCTGGGGCAGCTGGCGTAGGAAGTCGGCCGTGGAGGGCGCGTCTCGTCGATAGAGCAGCACTTCTACTTGCTCCAGCACCTCCCTACACGATGTAGACTCTCGTGAGCTCTTGCAAGGCACAAAGGCCCTGATAAGCAAACAGGAGGCCGTACTTGAGCAGATCCCCGTTGGGACAAGATGCAAGAGGGTGCTCCATCTTCGAACGTTTCGCTCTCGTCTATTCCTGCTTCTCCTACGTCTTCTTGTCTCGTGTAAGCAAGTGTGCACCAACGCGCCACACCATCGATTCGGTCTAGCGCGGGGTTGGTGACTCCACGGCAACTCCCCACAGCGCCCGGCTTCCCGCCGTTTTTCTCGGCCGCTGTCTGTGTAGGCCGTCGCCCCTCAACAACAAAGTTCTACGCATCACTGCAACACACGGGGAGAACGAGACACAGACGCGGTGTAGCGGTGATCATATTTAGTTGTTGTTGTTGTTGTTATGATGTTCTTCTTGCCTGTCTACTAGGCGCTGCTTGCGCCTCTAATCTTTGCGATCTGCGCACGGTAGGTGGCCACGCCACCGCTCACCTCCTCATCCGACGGACCCGTGTCGGAAGTCAACCTGTACCAGCGACGAGAGACAGCCAGCATCAGTACGGCCACCAAAAGGACAGGCGTTGTCGATGGGGGCGTACTCGCTGACGGGCGCTTCAAGCAAGTGCTGGATGGCCGCAAGCGACTTGGCC